TCTCCTTTTCTCCACAAGACTATTTCCTGTAAGACACACAAGCCTGCGTAAGAGAAGCCTCATGCACAGCAAACTTTTCTCGACGACTCCATTTTCAAAAGAAAGTCACCCTAGACGAGGGGAGAAGCCTAACTCTGCACGACACCTTTTTCTACACACGATTATTTTCTTAAAGACAAGCATGCTAACATGCAGATTTAAGAAGAAACTTGCCACAATACAGCTGCTAGAGGCATGTACGTCAGAAATGTTGTATGCCATATACACTCCTGGCCAAAATTCCTATGGACACTTGACAAAATACCAGCTGTGCCACATGATTTTGAAGTGACATTAAGTGGGAGATCATTTTCAATTTTCCGAGGCCCTCTCCCCCACAAAACAATGTTGGAATAGTGGGTCAATTTGGATGGATCAACTCAGCATTGTGTTGGGGGTGCAAGGGGGAGGGGGAGGGGAGGTGAGTGAACAGAAAGACCATATATTGGCAAAAGTGCAAGGAGTTTTGGCCAGGATTGTACATGCATGAGTTTCCAGCGGCAGTGGAATCTCACCATTTGAATTGGAGGCACCAGGTTAGTAAAATTGTTGTAATTGTAATTGTGTCTGTATATTGCACAAAGATCTCGCGAAAAAAAAAAAAAACCCAAAGTGAATAATTTCGTGAGAGTGGTGTTGACTTCGGAGAATACAGTGCGGGCTAGTGAAGAGGTACTTGAAGTGGAGGTAGTAGGAATAAAATTGATGCTCTTGTTAAGTAATGAGATGGTTTCTGATGGTAAAGACGTCGTGGTGGAATGGTGAATTTTGTTAGTCGATGATAGTTTGTCCTTTTCTTTCTTAATTAGTTCAGTACGTTGAAGTTGAAGATCCAGATCCATGAGGTTAGCTACATTAGTAAAGAAGAGATTGAATCTTGAGTTGAAGAGGTTGATGAATATTCTGTAGATTGCGTTAGCCTTGTTGAGTTGTATCCGTAGTCTGTGTCCTTTGTGGTAGTTTTTGAGGAAAGAAATTCTGAGTGAAAAGCACGTTGAGAAAGTTTGATGTCCATGATTCTTTTTTGAAGTGAAGTATTGTGATCTTTAAGAAAGTTGATTTCGTTTTGAATGTTAGATGATAAATGAATTAATGATGATGATGATTTCGTAGAGGTGGAGATGACAGGGTTACGGTCTTTGTAATACTGGGTATGGATATCACATTGGAGTTTATAAATTAAAGCTGAATTCTGTTCCTTTAAGGCAATTAAATTGTTAACTTTAAAAAGTAATCTTTTCTGTTTGGTTGGAAGGATTGATGATTTAAGTTGTCTTCCAATTCCAAGCTCTGGTACATTTGGGCTTGAAACTAAGTGGAATTTTATTCGGTTTTTTCTTGCCCTATTGTTGTTTTTTTCTTGCGTTTGTATTTCTGCTTTCTAACCTTGTTTCGTTCTTTTCTTTTAACGTTCAAGGATGGAGAAGGTAATGATTGGTTAAAATTCAAGAGATCCATAGAGAGACCTGAAAGTGGGCAAGAGTATACACATTAGTAGTATAAAAATAAAAAAAATTAATATAAACTGTAAGGTGGATGGTATGTACACCATGACCATTCAAAGAGTTGACTAGTAACTCAAAGGTGTACCCCTTCTGCAAGGTACACATAGACTCTTTGTTCAAAAATAAACCCTTTAGAGCAGTAGATATAGCTAGCAACCTATGCAGCATTTCAGGTGTAAAATTATGGGATCGCCTATTAAAAGGGTTCCCAAATCTCCACTGAAACAGTGGGTATTATATATCGATTGCAGTGTAACAAGGGAATAACTTCTGTGTTCTTCGCTCGATCTGTCCGCTCGTAGGTACAAGAATACCGTTGAAAGAACACTTCGCTTCCATAACGAAACGACAAAGAGGGCTTTAGCGCTTTCGAAACTTTCGCGTACTGGATACAATGTTGTTTTGCTTGCCAAATGTCATCAAGATTATTATCACGGTAACTTGAGATGTACTACTACACGAAATGCGTTGTACACGTATTTTTAAGTAAGATTTTCAGCAGCATCTTTCCTTAACATCTGGAAAATAACTCGACGATTACTCTTCGTGGAAGATAATTTTTGCCAATAATTTTGCCGATGCTGCTATTTTAACAACTAAGAGTACAGTCAGCATGCCAAAGATGAAGGGTACTTTAAAGCGAATAACACCAATAATATTCATAGCCTGTAATTTGTTTTAACTAGTTTTAAAAGATAAAAGTTATGTTTCCTTCTTTCAACAGTATGGGTGCAACGAACCTTTTTATGATCAATTTGATTGTCTTAAATTGCGGCGCCGTGATGATGAAATCTACACAATGTCGGCTTTATCTCAACACTCTTTCTCTTTTGGCTTCAAAACAAGAAAGCAGCAGTCTAATGTTTACTTTTTGCTGATGTTTTCATTATAATGTAACTTTTTTTGCGGCGCCTCCAAAACCACTCGAAGAAAAACTCAAGCTAATTTTGATACAAATTTTTGCGATGTGTTATGTTATCACTTGGAGGCCGTGTAGCATAGTATATTGACTACCGGTTTCTTAGCTGTGATATCGACATCTCGTTCCAAGTGAATGACGAAGAATTCAAACTGCCCACGAAACACTTATTTCGATTAAATTAGGTTACTTTGGTGTTTGACAATAAAAAATTGCGACAGAACATTTCTTAAAAGCATTCGAAGATTTAAAAGCTAAAAAGTTGAATTAAAATCGACGACGTTTCGACGTTACCGTAACGTCATTATCAAGTCAAAAAATGTATAAAAGCTA